GTACAGTCGGGGCGTTGACCTAAGGAACCCTGAATAAGGAACGAGGCCCCTTGTTTCCAGAAGTTAAACTTGATTCCCGATCGAAAACATAAGGAAAACCTGAGGCAAGCTGTGAAACACTTAAGGAACGCGGAGCCCCTCCCCAACCAAAAGGGTTCCTTCTTCAGCGCCCCGACTGTACCCCTCCTCGAGTGCGGTACAGCCATCGTGTTTCCATGAGGCACGCACAACGAGGAACGAGGCGGCGCTTCTGGCCACGGCGGGCCCGGGCCACGCGCCCAGGCTCTGCGACTTGAATCGAAGGAGCATCCCCTCCAGAGCCCCTCCAGAGCAGAGAGCGGTCCCGGTGCCAGCGTCTTGCCTGCAGGGGGCTACCCCCCCCGGGGGTCTCGGCGGGCGACGGCGGAGGCGGCAGCGGTCCGTTCTGTTCTCAACGGTCAGCAGCCCAGCGCCCGAGTCCTCCCGAAGGGGGGAGGGGACGGGGGTGGGCCGTGGGAGCGGGCAGGGCAAGCGAGGCGGCTCGAGAGAGAGGGGGGGAAAGGAAAAGAGGCGGGAGGGAGAGGAGAAGCAGTAGTAGTAGTAGTAGTAGTAGTAGTAGTAGTAGTAGTAGTAGTAGTAGTAGTAATAGTAGTGGTGGTAGTAGGAGTAGTAGTAGTAGTGGTAGTAGTAGAAGTAGAAGTACTACTACTAGTACTAGTACCAGTGGTAGTAGTAGTAGTACTATTACTAACTACTTACTACTACTACTACTATACTACTACTAACTACTACTACTACTACGTAGTAATAGTACTAGTAGTAGTAGTAGCAGTAGTACGATTAGTAGTGGTAGTAGTAGTAGTAGTAGTAGTAGTAGTAGACAACTACTACTACTACTACTACTACTACTACTACTACGACTACGACTACTACTAGTACTAGTAGTAGTAGTAATAGTAGTAGTAATAGTAGTAGTAGTAGTAGAAGTAGTAGTAGTAGTTGTAGTAGTAGTAGTAGTCGTAGTAGCAGTAGTAGTCGTAGTGGAAGTAGTAGTAGTAGTAGTAGTAGTAGTAGTAGTAGTAGTAGTGGTAGTAGTATTCGTAGTAGTAATAGTAATAGTAATAGTAGTAGTAGTAGTAGTAGTCGTAGTAGTAGTAGTAGTAGTACTAGTAGTAGTACTAGTAGCGGTAGTCGTACTAATAGTGGTAGTAGTAGCAGTAGGAGTAGCAGTGCTAGTAGTAGTAGCAGTAGTAGTAGCACTAGTAACAGCAGTACTAGAAGAAGAAGTAACAATAGTAGCAGTGGTCGTGGTCGTCTTCGTCGTCGTCGTAGTCGTAACCGTAGACGCAGTCGTAGTTGTAGTAGTAATAGTAATAGTAGTAGTAGTTGTAGTAGTAGTAGTAGTAGTAGTGATAGTAATGGTAACAGTAGTAGTAGCAGTAGTAGTGGTGGTAGTAATAGTATTGGCAGTCGTACTAGCACTAGAGGTAGTAGTAGTAGTCGTAGCAGTAGTAGTCGTAGTAGTAGTAGTAGTAGTAGTAGTAGTAGTAGTAGCAGTAGCGTAACAGTAGTAGTAGTAGTAGTACTACTACTAGAAGAAGTAGTAACAATAGTAGCAGTGGGCGTCGTCTTCGTCGGCGTCGCATTCGTAACCGTAGTCGCAGTCGTAGTTGCAGTAGTAGTCGTACTAGTAGTAGTAGTAGTAGTAGTAGCAATAATAGTAGTGATAGTAGTAGTAGTAGTAGTAGTAGTAGTAGTAGTAGTAGCAGTAGTAGTAGTAGTAGTAGCGGTGGTAGTAGTAGTAGTAGTAGTAATCGTAGTAGTAGTAGTAATAATAGTAGTCGTAGTGGGAGTAGTAACATAACTTGCTTTGTTACTAGTAGTAGCAGCATACTAGCAGTAATATTAGTACTAGACGAAGAAGTAATAATAGTAGCAGTGGTCGTCGTCGTCGTCTTCGTCGGCGTCGTAGTCGTAACCGTAGTCGCAGTCGTAGTAGTAGTAGTAGTAGTAGAAGTAGAAATAGTAATGATAGAAGTAGTAGTAGTAGTCGTCGTCGTCGTCGCAGTCGTACTCGCCATCGTAGTCGTAAGCGTAATAGTAGTGGTAGTGGTCGTGGTAATAATAGTGGTGGTCATAGTAGTAGTAGCATAGTAGCAGTACTACTAGTACTAGAAGCAGCAGAAATAGTAGTAGTTGTAGTAGTAGTAGTAATCGTCGTCGCAGTCGTACTAGCCGTCGTAGTCGTGTAGTAGCAGTAGTAGTGGTAATAGTAACTTAGTAGTAGTAGCACTAGTAGAAGCACTCGTAGTAGACATAAGAATAATAGTGGTACTAGTAGCAAAGTAGTACTACTAGTAGCACTAGAAGTAGAAGCAGTAGTAGTAAGAGTAGTAGTAGTAGTAGCCGTCGTCGTCGTAGTCGTAGTCGTAGTCGCAGTTGTAGTAGTAGTGATAGTATAAATTGTAGTCGTCGTCGTCGCAGTCGTAGTCGCCATCGTAGTCGCAGGCGTAGTAGTAGTAGTAGTAGTAATAGTAGTAGTAGCAGTAGTAGTAGTCGTGGTAGTAGTCGTAGTCGATGTAATAGTGGTAGTAGTGACTTAGTAGTGATAGTACTAATAGTAGTAGTAGCAGTAGTAGTAGTAGTAGTGGTAGTAGTGGTACTCGTAGTAGTAGTAGAAGTAGTAGTAGAAGTAGTAGTAGTAGTAATAATGATAATAATGATAATAGTAATCGTAGTAGCAGTACTACAACTACTACTACTACTACTACTACTACTACTACTACTACTACTACTACTACTGTTACTACTACTACTACTACTACTACTACTACTACTACTACTAGTACTACTACTACTACTACTACTACTACTACTACTACTACTACCACTACTACTACTACTACTAGTTACTACTACTACTACTACTACTACTACTACTACTACTACTACTACTACTACTACTACTACTACTAGTCGCCGCGCGGCGGCGGCGACGGCGACGGCGAAGGTGACGGCAACGGCGGCGGCGGCGGCGGCGGCGACGACGACGACGACAACGACGAGGACGACGACAACGACGGCGACGGCGACGGCGACGACGACGGCGACGGCGACGGCGGCGGGGGCGGCGGCGACGGCGGCGGCGGCTACGATGGCGACGAGGGCGACGATCAGCAGCAGCCAAGCGACAAGTGGAGTCGGCGTCGTGGGCAGAGGGAGAAGGAGGGGGGAGGAGCCTCGAGGCACGGGAGGAGCAGCAGGAGTGGGAAGCAGAAAGCCCGACACACCCCGGGGCCGGCTTCTCATCTGGGGTCGTCCTGTGGAAGGCCCCGGGACCCGGCAAGGGCCCCCAGATGTGAGGCGGGGATCCATCCATATCCAACGCCTGGGAACCGACGTCCTGGAGACCCAATGGGGGGTGGATATGGATATGGAAATAGATCTGGATACGGGTATGGATCTGGATATGGGTGTATATATAAATACATGCATACATATATATATATATATATATATATATGCGTGTATACAGCTGGATACGGGTGTATACAGCTGGATACGGGTGTATACATATTGAAGAGTGTAGATAGCTGCGTACATGCACATACATCTACATACACATATAAGTACATGCATACATCTGGATACGGGTGAATACATATATAAGCGTGTATGTATATGTACGTGTACATATTAACACATACATATACCAATATCCATATCCATATCCGTATCCATATCCATATCCGTACCCATATCCGTCTCCATATCCGTATCCACATCCATATCCATATCCGTATGCGTATCCATATCCGTATCCATATCCATATCCAAATCCATATTCACCGTCTCCGGAGGTCCGCAGACACTGGTGACAGCCCCCCCCGGGCGTACAGGACTGACCCCACCGAATCATTATCCCTGTCTGTCTCGCTCCGTCCTCCCCCTCGTCCCGTCGGGCGCCGCGGGGGGGCGGGATTGGGAAAGCGCAGGGCGACGACGGCGATGGCGATGGCGACGGCGACGGCGACGGCCACGGCGACGGCGACGGCGACGGCGACGGCGACGACGACGACGACGACGACGACGGCGGCGGCGGCGGCGGCGGCGACGGCGACGGCGAAGCGACGGCGACGGCGACGGCGACGGCGACGGCGACGGCGACGGCGACGGCGACGGCGATAGCGGCGGTGGGGACGACGACGACGACGACGACGACGACGACGACGACGACGAAGACGATGACGACGACGACGACAACGGCGACAGCGACGACGATGGCGACGGCGACGGCGACGGCGACGGCAACGGCAATGGCAACGGCGACGGCGACGACGATGGTGACGGCGACGGCGACGGCGGCGGCGACGACGGCGGCGGCGGCGGCGACGACGACGACGACAACGTCGGCGACGGCGACGGCGACGGCGGCGGCGACGGCGGCGGCTACGATGGCGACGAGGGCGACGATCAGCAGCAGCCAAGCGACAAGGGGAGTCGGCGTCGTAAGCAGAAAGAGAAGAAGGGGGGAAAAGCCTCGAGGCACGGGAGACCCGACACACCCCCGCTTGGGGCCGGCTTCTCATCCGGTGTTGTCCTGTTGAAGGCCCCGGGACCCGGCAAGGGCCCCCAGATGCGAGGCGGGGATCTATTCGCATCCACCGCCCAGGAGCCGACGACTTGGAGACCCAGCGGTCGGTGGATATGGATATGGATGCGGATATGGATATCGATATGGGTACGGATACAGAAATGGACATGGGTATAAGTATATACATATATACCCACACATGTCCATGTCCAAATCCGTATCCGTATCCAAATGCATATCCATATCCATATCCGCATCCGTATCCAGATCCGTGTCCAGACCCATCTCCAGACCGATGCCGATACCCATGTCCATGCCCCTCGGAGGCCCGCGAACATCTATCCTCCAGACCGTGGCTAGACATACATACATACATACATACATACATACATACCTACATACATACGCACAAGCCCCCGCCTCGGCTCAGAGACCGACAGAGGCCACACGCCTCCCGGCCTGGCTCCTGTCTCGGCCTCGCGGCGCGCGCGCGCGTCTGGGCCCACGGAGCGGCGGGGGCCCTCCCTTGGGCCGCGCGCGGCGGGCGGCCCGTCGGGCCGGGGCGCCGCGGCTCGCGCAGGGCCGCGGGAGAGGGCCGCGGAGGGCCCGGCGAGGCGTCCGCGCGCGTACGGACAAAAATGGGCACGATGCCCAGCAACAAGTGCTGTCCCCAACCAACAGCGGCCGCTGCTGGGCAGGCAAACGGGCACAGGCCGCGGCGGCGCGGGCAGCGAGTCCTACTCCAGAGGAGCAGGAGCTGCTGCTGGGCATGGTACCCATCCTTTCCGTACCCATTTCGTTCGTGCCGAGCTGCAGCCCCTCCCCGTGGCGAGCAGTGGGGAAGCGTCCTGGCCTGCCTGCAGGCCCACCACAGAGTGTTCTAAGGACCTTGTCCGTGTTCTTAGAACGCTTCTGGCCGAGGCCGTCCTGTCTTCACACATCGGGCTCGTGTTCTGAGAGCATGGCTTTTGTTATGAGAGCATGCTTGGGTTTGGAGAGCATGTCGTGGTAGGCCTACAGGAATGCTGGGACGGTCGGTCCCTGTTCCACCGGGGAGGGGGGGCGGGGGGGCGACGAGATCTACACACGAGGCGCTCCAGGAGGGGCCGCGCCTGCGAGGGTCGAGGGAGGCGATCCCTCGTCCTCGGCCGAGGGCCGGCGGAGGTGGGGCGAGGCCGCCTCCGCCAGCAGAAGCCGGCGGCAGGCTGGCGGAAGCCCGCAGAGGTGAAAGGGGCACCCCCAAGAGGTGAACGTTTTCTTACTCGGCGCTTCGACATGGGGCGGAAGGGGGGCGGGAGGCGGAGGGGGGCGTCTGGCTCTGGACCTCTGCTTAGCGCAACTGCTTGCAACAGTGTGTCCTATGGGGGAGACTCCACCTGCTTGAAGCAGGCGCCCAAAACAGCCAAGATCTACTCCACAAGGGGGGCGTGGGGGGGTGCGAGGGCCCGCGCCGATCGGCAAAACAATGAACAAGAAAACGATCACGAGATGACAGCATGTTTGGGTTCAGGGCTTCCGGGCCCCGCCACTATGTTGCATCCTCGGGGGACCTTGTCTGTCCCGTCGCGGCCCTGCCCGCGTCGAATGCGTGTCGAATCCATGTCGGACGCGTCGGATCCGTGTCGAATCCGTGTCGAATCCGCGTCGAATCCATGCCAAATCCGCGTCGAGTCCGCATCGAGCCCGCGTCAGGCCCCCAAAAAGGCACCAATTTTGGGGACAGGCGAGGTCCCCCGAAGATGCAACAGAACCGCCACATGCCCACTGCTCCCTGGCCAGGCCCATCCTGAGCCCAGCAGCGGTGTGCACGCCACGCCCTCCTGGCTCGGCCAGAAGGGCGTGCACGCAGCTCCCGGGCCCAGGAGGAGGAGGAGGAGGAGGAGGAGGAGGAGGAGGAGGAGGAGGAGGAAGGGGGCAGTGACTATACATGTACGTAGACTTCGTCGCCCGATGTGGGGGGGGGCGGCGGGGCTGCCTGTCACAGCACCTCTGGGGCATCGCTTCACCGATCCCTCTCCTCGCGGGCGTGGCCCGGGCCCCACTGGCCGAGCAGCCCCTCCGGAGAGGGGATATCGACACATGCATATAAATAAATAAACAAATCAATGAATAAATAAATAAATAGGCTGTCCTCTTCGGATTTCGAGGGGCATTGTGCCCAGCTGGGGTGGTGGGATGGTGGGGATCGGGACGGGGATGGGGATGGGGATAGGAATCGGTGGAACGATACTGACCTTTATCCACGATGTGCCGTTGCTCCAGCTGATGAGGTTGCCGTGCAGGGTGCCCTCGCGCTCGACGAAGCGCACCCTGCTGCCTTCATAGGAAAAGAAAAGACGGCGTACACATGGCTAGACTTGCGGAGCTCCTCGCGGATCTTTTGGATCTGCGCCAGGGACCTTCCCTGGCGCGCGGAGCTCCCCGCGGATTTTCTTGGATCTGCGCCAGGACCACGCGGCGCCGCTGGCGCCGCCAGGGCCTTCCAGCGCAAATCCAAGAAATCCGCGCGGGGCTCCGGAAGTTTCTGCTCGTGCCGTTGTGCTTCTTCGACGTCAGAGCGGCCGAAACCTGCTGCTCTGCGCCCACGCCTGTGGCCCGCCTCAGGGCGCCGATCCGCATACTGGGTCGGGCACTATGTCATACCAAACCTGGAGATCCCGACAGGGAGGCCGTGCCTTTCGACTCGGGCCTGAGCTCCGAGGCGGGCCTGCTCCAGCGAGGACGCCTGCTCTCGCTTTCGCGAGATGACGTATCGACCTTAGGCCGCAGCTTACGCGGGCCACCAGTGGGGCACACTACACTGGAAGCGAGGGCGCTCACGCGCGACCTCACGCGAGCAGCTTGCGCGCGAATGTCGGCGCAGTCGAACCCGTTGTTTTGCGTCGCTCAGGTGGTCCTCTCCAGAAACCCTGAGATCCGACGTTGCA